GTTAAATTTAATAAAAATGCTTTTTCCGTACCTGTTAAAATGATCATAGATTTTTACCCTTCATTCTATTTATGTGCTATGTTAAGTTTATTGATTTGTATATGTTGAACCATCTTTGCTTTCCTGAAATGGAACCCACTTGATCATGGTACATGATCCTCTTTTTCTGTTGAATTTGATTTGCTACTGAATCTGTGCTCACGATTGATGTTAGTCTACATGTTTTTGTTGTTTGCTGTCATTTTTTATTAACAGGGTAATACTGGCTTCATAGAATGACTTTGGAAGGGCTCCCTCTCTTTCAATTCTATGGATCAATTTGAAAAACATTTGTGTTTCTTCTTTAAGTGTTTGGTAAAATTCAACAGTGACGCCATCCAGCCCTGGACTTTTCTTCACAGGGAGACTTTTTATTACCAGTTCAATCACATTACTTGTTATTGGTCTATTCAAGGTTTCTACATCCTCTTGGTTCAATAGTTGTAGGGTATGTATTTCAGAAATGTATCCATTTCTTCCAGATTTTCCAATTTGTTGGCATATAGTTTTTAAAAATATTCTCCAAGGATCCTTCGTATTTCTAGTGTGTTAATTATGTCTCCTTGTTCAGCTCTAATTTTACCCGGTTTCTTGCTGTCTCTTTGTTCCGCTCTCCCTCCCTCCCACTCTCCCTTCCTCCTTTGTCTCTCTCTCATTAGTCTGACTAAAGTTTTCTCAATTCCATTCATCTTTTCAAAGATCCAACTCCATCTCATCGATGGCTTTATATTGTTCATGGGATCATTTCATTTATTTCTGCTCCAATATTTATTTTTATCTACTAACTTGGGTATAGATTGTTCTTTCCTTCCCAAGATCTTACTATTAGGTCGTTTGAGATGTTTGTTTGTTTGTTGGTGTTGGCATTAGTTGCTATGAACTGCCCTCTTAGTACTGCTTTTGCTGTACCCAGACTTTGATATATTGTTTCCATTTTCACTTGTTTCAAGGAATTTCTTAATTTCCTTTCTGACTCCCGCAGTGACCAGTGTTTATTCAAAAGCATGTTGTTCAGTTTCCCTCTACTTGTGTATTTCTATTGTTTTTCTGGCTTTTGATTTCTAGTTTCACTCCACTGTGATCAGAAAATATACAGGGTATTATTTCAATTTTTTTAATTTGCTAAGACTTTTATGTGGCTTAATAATTTTTTGTAGAGCAAGTTCCATGTACTGATAAAAAGAATGTGTATTCTATAGCTGTTGGATGAAATGTTCTACAAAGGTGTATTAGGCACATTTGATATATAGTATAATTTGATTCTGATATTTCTATAGCGTACAGTTTAACTGTTGATTTTTTCCAACTTCTTTTTTTTATTAGTACATGTTTGCAGTACATAGTGAGTGCTCATCATGCAGAGCTGGTACATATACTAACGCATCTTCTTTTTTATCCTTTCCTTTCTTCCTTCCCCCTCCCTCCACCTCTTGATCTTCTTCCCATCTGCAAAAGGTCTATCCTCCTATTTCCTATTATTCATTTTTTATTTTGCTTTTTCATATTTAGAATTTCTCATATAAGAGAAAATATGTGATGTTTAAGCTTGTGTGTATGACTTATTTCAATCAACATTATAGTGTCCAGGTGCATCCACTGCCACTGGTGAGAGTGGGATATTGAAATCTCTGTTATTTTTGTGGGTTTTTTTGTTTTTCTTCTGGTACCAGGAATCGAACTCACAACCTTGTGCTTGCCAGGCAGGCGCTGTGCCACTGAGCTAAATCCTCAGCCCCTCTCTCTCTAGTATTGTATTAGCATGTCTCTCCCTTTTGGTAACATGTTTGTTTTATAAAATTGGGTGCTCTGACGTTAGGCCTACATAAATTTATAAGCATTACATACTCTTGGTTAATTGACCTCTTGATCATTCCTGCTTCTTTTCTGATTTCATTTGCTTGGAACATCAGTCCCATTGTTTCACTTTCAGTCTGTGTCCTCAGTGGCAAAGTAAATTTATTTTAGGCAGCAGGCTAGATGTGATTGAAAAGCATAGTGAATGTATCAGTTTTAAAAATTTACCACAGAAGACACGTTCCTGTTAGTCCTTTTACGGCTTGCGTCTAGATGTCCCCCCAGGTCTCACGCGGTCATAGGCAGGGGCTTTCTGGAGACGGCTGGATCTGAAGTGCAAAACGCTGGGATCAAGGGTGTGTGATAACTGCATTAGTCCAGTGACTGGCATGTAGTTCTGGGTAAGATTAAGGGTGCCACAGCCTGAGTGTGATGCTGTCCGCCCTAAGGGCGGGCTGCCTTCTGCCCACCATGAACTGTTTCTCCTCTGGGATGCCCCTCTGCCATGCCACCCGGCCTTGGAGCCAGCCAAGTGTGGACTGAAACCTGCAAACTGTGACCTAAATAAACCTTTCCTCCCTTAACTTGTGGGTGTTGAGTATTTTGTCTCAGCAATGAGAGAACTAACTAAGACAACCCCCTCGAAGTACTCCTTCGCTTCTTCAATCATTCTTGCCACTTTCCGGAGCAATTGCGGAAGTCCTTTTTTATGAGTGTCTTTAGTTTGTGCTCTGTGTCTTGGGCATCAGTTTGTTTATGCAATGTTGAGTTTATTGCCAGGTGGACACCATAATGTAATCTCCTTGTAACCTTTTTTGGCCTGATTAGTGAGTTTCAGCACAGTGTATGCCATATCTGAGTCAGAGAGACCCATGGTCTCTGCAGGCTGTGCCAGAGTTCAGGCAGGTGTTCTGTAGACAATGTGAGGTGCATGATGTATGTTTTTTTACCGCAGGACTATTGGCTCCAGTTAGATGACAGAGGTTTCCTTAGGCAATGTTGATACTATCCCTGTCAGCTGAAGGAGTCTCTCATCCTGGTTGTCCCAGTAGCGTTGAGGGGTGCAGAGCACTTGTTCTCTGATTAAACACTGATGCAGTGCCAGGTACTTCGGAGGAAGGTAGCATGGGGAATCACCGTGCCCCCTTTGTGGCACCCACACCTAGTCTTGATAGCAGTGTGAGATCAGTAAGGCGAGAGGGCAGCTTATTCAGGGCACCCGTGTAGCATGTGACAGTGTGTCCTTACTCTTTGCTGATACTGTGGGCATGCCCAGAGGTCCGCCCTCTCTCAACTGTGTATGCTTGTGGACAGGGTCACGGCTGGGAGCTGTTCTTGCCCCAATTTCCTCATCTGTAGTGTTCGCCAAGGATTGAACGCTTTGTGACTGGAGCCAGGCAGAATTCCTCAGCTGAGGTGTTAGAAGGAGTGCTGGGCATGCAAACGGCACTGGAATCTCTGGACCCTCTGTGTGCCCTCGGGTAGGGTCAATGGCCTGGGCCTCCCGCAGTTTTCAGTTGCAGTTCCTGCCAGGGACTGAGCAGGAGCAAGTAGAATCTGCAGCCAGGCAAAATTCCTCTCAAGCTGAGGTTCCCACAGGAGCAAGTGAGAGTCGGCTGCAGCCAGCCAGTTTCTAGCTGGGGCAGCTTAGGTGCTGTGTTCCGGGGACACAGCGACAGCCTGCAGCCACAGGGCAGTTGCGGAGACGGCCCAGCACACCTCTGCATGCAGGAGTAGCACTGGAAGCTTAAGAGGTCTTTCACTGCCTCGTCACAGGGACCTCTGCCAGCACTAGGATGGTGAGAGCCATGCAGGCAACTGTCCTCAGTCCTGGGTCCCACTTGAAACCACCCGAGACGGGCCACATTCCGGGTCCCAGTGTCGAGGGCAGCCTCCCTGATGCCCGTTAATGGCAGTGCCCAGAACTCTTTCCGCACTGCAACACTCCCCGAGCCAGCAGTGGAGTGTGTGTTCTCAGAGATGGGGATATGCAGAGGCTTCCACCTCTAGGACACTCTAAAATCAGACAGCAGGTCCCCTTTCAAGATGGCTCCACATCCCAGAACTCTGGAGGTTCACTGAGAAATGAGTTCCTTTTCCCAAGTCAGACTACTTCACAAACCTCAGGCCTCTTCTCTACTTAGGCTATACGCCTACAAGGGCTGTGAGACTTTCCAGTGGCTAGGGTGGGCAGAACCCTGATGGGTGGAGTTTGCTGGACTCTTTCACCTCTGCTTCTGCAGTGGAGACTCCTCTCCTCTAGAGGGCGCAGGAACACAGACGATGTGATACTATTTCTCTGGCTGGCCCGCTGTTAGGGTTTGTATGTAGGTGTCCCCTTAAAACCTCCTGTGATATAGACCGGAACCTGCAGAATGTGACCGGGTTACAGGAACATTATAGCTTTCTGGCTGTTAGGAGCAGGGCCTGGAAGGAAGACCAGGGTCACTGTGGGTGTGACCTGGACGGTTACATGTCACTTCCAGCTCCTGCCCGGCTCTCCGTGTCCGGCGGACGTGACATATGCACTTTCTCTTCTTGCACGCGCCTTGCTGTGGACCCGGCCAACTATGGACTGTGAGCCAAGGGAAACCTCTGCTCCTTGGATCTGAAGCTTTCAGGTGTTTGTCTCAGCAAGAAGGAAAGCGACTGAGACGTCTACCGTCCCTGGTCTCTGGGTTTTAAAGGCTTCCATTCCCTAGTGCTGGAGTCGGGTGTGCTCCCTAGTCATCTGCCTCCACACGCACTACGCATCTTTGCTCTCGCTCTCTGCAGAAGAGCAGGTGCGTGTGCTGGCTCATCTTGGTGCCCTACACAATATTTTAACAGGCAAGAACAGTTACACATTTTGAACAACTTATACTTTTGCAATATTCCACTAATGCAATACTGAGTGATTATAAGAAGTGTCATAAGGAAAGTGTGATTCAGAGAAAATTCAGGAAAATGGGCTGGGGATATAGCTCAGCGGCGCAGCACCTGCCTGGAGAGCATGAGGTCACGAGCTTGAGTCCCGGTTATCCTCCCCCGTCCTCTGACCCTAATGAGGGAAAATGACGGCAACGATACAATCCTGATGTCTTTCTGAATGTAAGTCTCAGTAGCCAAGCAGAAATACACCTAGGTGAGAATGCTCCTTCAACATAGACAGAAATAAAGCAAGAAAATGAGAGTTCAGTTTTGCCAATTTTATTGAACCAATAAAATTCCTACTAATAACAATGAAATAAATTTCTGCAAGTATAAATGTGATACAGTTTAACAAAACCCATTGTTCTGTACCTATAAATAGATTTTCAAAATGTCATAAAAAGTGCAGTTATGAATTGTTAACATGTTAATACACAATTTCTTTATTTCAAATGTGTGTGTCTTGACTCACTAACAGTTCCTTCTGTATCTGTTCAAATAATATTACCCATCCCTCCAAAAAAAAAAAAAAGAGGCATTAAAGCACTAGAATATTACACATAAGCTGATCCCTTCAGGTCAGCTTTAGTCAGAATTGTAAAATCAGCAACATAAGAAAAATAAAACCTAGTTTACATACAAAAAGCTTTCATGGTCTATAATCTCCTTAACTGCTGACTCATGTGGAGGGCGTTATGAGCTGAGAAGGCTTATATGGTTAACTACCTTAGACTACATCTACAGCAGGGTCTGGTTTGCCAGAACAAGTATAAAGTGGCTGTTCATTAAGTTTGCTATTCTTAGAACTGAAACTATAAGACTGCCATTTGACGCTGAACTTGTGTGAATTCTAAATTGCATCAATGATCTATTTGATAAAGCTTATTCTAATTTAAAACCTTATAGAGTAAGAGACTGACATATAGAGCAGTCTTAAAGATCACGTCATCCGCCTTACATTAGTCCAAAGTCACGTGCTTCGTAAAAAAAGAAAAAAAATTACAGTAACAAAGCACAGGACTACAAAGGCAAAACATCACAGCTTCTGATTACATTGAATAAAAAGTACCAAGGAACGCAAAAGATAATTCTGTATTAATACTGATGAATTAAAGAACTATAATAGACATTTCACAGCATGCTACATATATCGCTCACAAATAAGGATTAAATGAAGTCTAAAATTGAAAGTCAAGAAGTTGGCAATCTGATTTCATGTGCAATTCAGCTACAAAGTCTTAATATATACATTCATTATGTAGCTGCCCTGCAAAATCAGGATTAAAAAAAGTTTTCAAGTTCAAACCCTATTTCGTAAGTTGAAGGATACATCCAGTTCTTCCATGACCAGGAAAAGTTTTCAGGTTTGAAGGAACTAATCCAAGAGACAAGGCCACACTCCAAGGTGACCTGACAGGATTCCTGTTTATCTGCTCAGATGGCATGTGGATAGCTTGTGGTTTGTTTTCAATATCTACTTTATTTTGGGCTAAAAGAGTTAAATGTGAAGAGAAAGAAGAAAGAGAAAACGGTACTTTCTCTCCAGAGAAGATATATGAAAACAAAGAAAATATGTGCACAAGATATAGAGTTTGGATCAACTTCCTTGGTGAACAAGGGTACCGTTTAACTCTACTTCTACTTAAAAGAACCAGAGAGATAAGAAAAGCAGAAAACAGTCTCTCGGCTTCCCAAAGGCAAGTTCTTGGCCGCCTAATGGATACATTTCCTTTACCCTACCTCTTGATCCTTCCTATCAGACTTAGGGGAGCCAGTTGAGAATTTGTAAAGACTGGTTATTTAAGAAAGAGATGTATAATTAGTTAGTTCTGTGTCATAATGTATATAATTAATCGGAATCTGTGAATAATATTTTAACACTAAAGACTGAAGATTCTCCCTCTTTAATATTCTTTCTGTAGAAATTATATATTCATTTTTAAGAGGGTAACTTGAGGGGTGCAAGAAAATAGATTGTTTTAGCAAAAATTTTCTAACAAAATTATATTTAACATATTTAGACTTATTAATGTTTAATGATGTCCTATGAACTATAAAATGGGGCATTTGCTCTAAAGGCCATATGACAGTAAGCACTGCATTCTTTCAAAGGTTTTTATCAGCATTCAGAAGAACCAGATACGCTCTTCTTTCCCTTACATTTTTTCTTTTTCTCTACTTCATGGTGGTGCAGTCATAACTAGGTTAAAGCCAGAGTGAACACTTTATGACACATGACTGAATTAATCCCTGTCTCCAAGTCTTATTTCTTAAGTAGCCTACTGGGTTCACTTCTGGACCGTCAAAGGGATTTAGTGGAGACTGCTATCAGGTTGGGTTGTTCATGACTAAGATGGAAAACATGCAAATACCACCAGAATTCATATTAACATATACTAATAATCAGGGTGGTTCACCTTCAAGTCAGAAAACCATCTGTAGATAAATGTGTCCCATGCTAGAAACTGGAGGCAGTGTAATCTCCAACAACACCAAGTGCACACAGGCTGGAGAGGAAGAATTTGCATTTTTGTCTTTAACGATACTATCTGGACATATCTGAAGTATAGCAAGGGGAATCAAGACTGTACAGTTATTCCATAGAAGATACTTCCTTCCATGGGAACAGGGTAAGGACGGGGGTGAGAAGCTTAGTCTAACCCAGGAAAGCCTAGTCAGACCCTTACGTATCCAGCTTTGCAGTATTTTAATGGTGTTCTGTGATTCAGCCAGACCATCTAAACACCCTTATCAATGTCCTCTTGCAAGAAATGTGTTTCATGGCCTAAATACCACCAATAAAACAAATAACTGAAACATCACTCCATTTATATGCCAGAAATTCCTGTTCCATTAAAGGGCTACAGGTCAATCTGGATTGCTAGAGAATTTTAACTTTACATTCAAATAACTTGGACTAACACCAGTATTCATTATCTAATATAGATCCAGGTTATGATGGCAATTTAATCACTTTAAAATCCTGCTAAATGCTAAATTCTGCATGGTAGAAATAGTTCAATTTCTGTATCATGTATAAATATAAAGATTCCTACTCTGATAGAAGGCAAAATCTTCTATGATTTATTTAAAATATGGAAGTAGTATTACTGAACAACAGAGAGTGAACCCATGAAAAGGCTGGATACTCTGATTTATAGGCTCTTTGGGGATGAGGTAGCGGAGAACACGGCATTTGGGCAGTTGGGAAAAGGGTACACAGCATGGCGGGGACAAGCTTACACTAATGCTGCGTAACATCTGGCAGCATGGACGTATCTGAAGGGCAGCGAGGGGAGCACGTCAGCCAGAAGTCAGACGAAAGGTAGGTGGGTGGTTGGGGGATTGAGAAGGAGCTGAGACAAAGCCATAATCTTCACAAATGGAGAAAGCGTAACTCAGAAAAGTGAATGCTGGTGACTGTCGGCAGGTGGCTGGTGATGTCCTGTCTGGATTGTGAAAGGTGCTCAGACCAAGGCAGGCTGAGGGAGGGCAGGCGAGTGAAAGTGTAAGGCTGAGGCACTTGGAGGAAGAGAAACCAGGCAGGAAGGAGTGGACTGAATGCAGGTAGGAGCTTCCTTTGTATTCGACGCACGATGCCGAGGAAAGCCACCATCTTAGCATTACGTTCTATGTAGTTTTTAAAGACATTCCCTCCCTCACAGGGCTATCTTGACATATACCTCTACCTCTGTAATCCACCTCACCCCTAGCTTTTTGTTCTAGGTCTCACCTGAGCAGATACTGCTAACTAAGCCAAATTAGCATCAAAATAAGCTCCACATACAGTGGTCATTTACGTTCTGTTGACTGAGATAAATACATTCATATTACAGTACTGCTTTGAGGAAAGACTATTTAATCGGATTCTCAGTCTCCACAGAGTTATAATAGGGAAACACAGTTTAGGATGATGGCCACTGAGAAGAGATTCTGATTATACAAATTATGTAATTTAAAACTCAATCTAAACAGAGGAGCCACATATCTTTCAGTTTAGTATTGAACTGTACTAAGAAAATAAATATTACTTGTATAGTATCATCATTGTTACTTTTAGCTCCATGCAAGACCATCGATTTGAATGAGACAAAAAATATCTGTTAGATAAAAAGAAGCATTTAAGGTCTTGCTTTCCACAGAAATGACTTAGAATTATCTCTAAAACAAAACATAAGCAAAAAACTTCATTTTACTATTGCAGTGCAAACCTTTTTATAACATGCACTGAAACTTGCTTTACTCCCCTGATGAACTGTTTTCAGTTAAAAAAGAATCTTACCATCATATATGCACACACCCGAAAGGTGGTGAAATATTTTATGTACATATCTTTAATTGCTGATAAATTTACTTTGCTGTGGAACAAAAGTCTAAGATTTCAGGTTAAAAACTTTATAGAGTCAGGAAGGAAAGAGGTGCTCTGAAATAATATTAATTAAACTTTAGAAGTATTAACAATTTTTAGGAGACATTATAACACAAATAAAATAAGGGCTCTGGTTCAAGTTTTATATGATTTTTATATAAACCTTACGTTTGGTTTTCTACTCTAAAAACAGCCCTATGTTGCTCCGCCATTACCTGGGTTTAAAACCATAGTGTAAGGCCACACCCCTAGGCTCCATGCTAGCCATCTTTTATTTAAAGAGTACCCCAAGTGAGACAAATTCTTCCTGAGACTGAGACATGTACCTAGTTAGAAAAAGATGAAGGAGTTTTGTCTCAAGAGCCTCTTCCCCCTAATTCTCCCAAGTCCACCTGAGGAAGCCTATTCTGAAGGGTTCCGTGAGGCGCCTGGCTGTGGTCAGCGGGTCAGAGAACAGACTGACTTTCACATGGGAGGCTATTTTGATATTTCTGAAGGTGATCTGGGAAATGAAGAATTATCATCAAGGCTGGAAACTGTGAAATTTCAAAGTAAATATACATTATTCAAGCATAATTTCAGTGAATTCTTCGAGTCATTTTAACACAGTAAGCAAGGAGTTAAGAGTTCACACCCACATGTGCTTTCTCATGTACACTTGCACACGAAGTTGGGCACAATGTGAGCCCAGGTGATTAGCATATAATCACATTATTACACCAATGGAACCAGATATCTTTTTTAAAAAATATCACATTTTAATATAAAAAGCTACACTATAAATTACTACATAATAAATTCAATACTCTGAAAAAAAATACCACCCTGGCAAACCGCATCAGAATTTCCAGTTTGCACTGGACAGAGAGAGTTGGTAACAAACTCACTGTGAACAGGGAGTCACAGCCTGGCACAGCGCTGCTGCTTCCTCCCCGGTGCCCGAGCACCTCAGAAGTCCGGCTGGTGAGTACCGGGGCTTGTAATACGTTTTATTCTGTTTTCACTTCCAAGCCAACTTAACTTCCTGATTACTAAAGAGATGGATCAATGTTGAGCAAAAAAAAATTTTACTAGGAAAGACATCTATGAAAGGCACTAATTATTTCCACAACTCAAACTGAACTACTTACATTTCTGGGGGAAAAACGAAACAACAAAAAGTGGCCATTTTAGTTACTTCTACCTTGTTTCCCTTTTGGTCTAAAGCTCATATGGTGTTCTGTGAGAATTCCTCGTCCGATTCAATATATAAAATCATTTTTTCATCCTGCAAGACAGTTTACCTGCACAAAATGATAGGTCACTGATTAAAAAGATTCTAATAAAAATGCAAGAATAAAAGACATCCTCATCTTGAAAGTCCTAAAGATAGGGAAATTACATGGACTTTTATGTTGTTATCTGTGTTCTGTCATTCTCTTCAATACTTTTCTTATAGTTAATATTTATCTATGCCATGTGATATTTAAAAAAATCCATATATAGTATATGCAATAAACAAAACAGAAGAGATCTGGCATGATGAGTTCTTTGAATCATCTCTTTAAATAAACCACCCTGTCCTGAAAAATATTAGTCATTTTTTTCCTCATGGAAGATTTCAAACAAGATCCTTGAATCCCAAAACACAGAACTACCTTACAATAGGTTTACAGTCATTTTTCTTTTCCTATCGGGAACAAAATCTAAAGGAAAGCAACCTAATTGATGTATTGTACTAGAGACAGATGATAAAGAGAAGGGAAAATGATTTAACAAAACACTAGCCCATGATTATTTCACAAGAGGAAAAGTAAGTCACAGAAAATAAGTCTAAAATGAAATTTCTGTGGCAACTATAATGGAAAAGTTTAACTATATTATTTACTATGGAAAAATGGATATGCTTTTAAAAATTTACCATATATGTGTAAAATTCAAGTCACCTTTAATTAATCAAAAAGTATTTAAGCAGTGCAGTTGTGTCCTCCTGGGTAGTTGTAAGCATCTCCTTAGGCACTTCACTGGTTCACTAACATAATACAAATTAAAGCTATAAACACACAACGTTGTGCTTTCTGAAGATAGTCTAATCAAGCAACATAAACCAATGCAAAAATGTGACTTTTTGGCCACTTATTCCTCCCCTATGACTTGATACCTTTTTAAACCAGTTGTCCGAAGAGATTTTTCTGGGGAAAGGAATGCTTTGGCATTATAAGAACATTGTTCAACCCCAGTAAGGTAAAACAGAAAAGAAGTCTAGTGCAATAAAGAAATTTGAGTAAAATTTCTTTATGGCTCTGTTTAAAAGGACACTTCTGCAGTGATATGATAGGGGAAAAGTTTAGTCGAGTATTTTTTAGAACATATTGCACTTTTTTGTTGTTCAATCACATTAATGCATAGAAACACAATTTTTTACCTTTGAATTACAAACTGTTTAACCTATTATAAGAAGAAAATAATGGAAAATAATTTCTAAAAGCCTAACAGAAAAAAATATAGACATATTAACTGTCCTTTAAACCTATGAGAAAGGAAAAATGTGCAAAGAAAGTTTTTGGTCAGTCTCGTGTGTTCGGTTTGTCTGTGCCGCCAGGGTGAACTGTGAACAGCAGTGTGAGCACTGACAGTTCAGGTGGCTGAGGATCGCCGTCAGTGACAGGAAGGACTGTGCATAAGTCTACTCTCATATACACATCATACGGAAAACAACCTCCTGTTATAAGAGAGAAAGGAAATCGCTGAATTTGGCATTTCAGTAGCATGCTATAGAATTCATCCTGATTAAGTTCACATTAAATTATGGACAATGGCTGTGTCACATTTCACGTTATCGCCAATAGCAGTTAAAAAAAAAAAAACTACAAATAAGAAAACACACAGTGCCTGACAAATAATTTCCTAGGGACACACCTTTGTGTCCAGTGAGCAGCTTGGTTCAACAGCGCATGCTTTTCCTCTACCAGATTTAGGACACAACGTGAAAATTACAGAATGGCCGGAAGGGGTCATTCTTTGCTGAATTCCAACATCTGAAGAACAACTGCGTGAGCAGATTGTAAGCGCTTTTCCTTATTTAAAAAAAAGTAAAGAAAAAAATACACATATACACAAACCCCGAAACACTGAAGGTAAGCATTAACAACCACGTTCATGATTTATGATCGGTGCCCAAAACTCCAACTATAAACAATGCAAAGTAGTGCTCCTCAGTATTATTTCTGCAACTGTTAGTAATGTTAAGCATCAAGAAAGAATAAAACACATCATTGCACATTATAGCCGGGGGGAAAAACAAAAACAAAACGAAACAGCTAAACTCTGACACTAGAGAAGTGAATAATTTTGATGCTATATCACAAACAGCTTCTGATGTAAATTGTATGTGAAAAAGTCTTTACACATATATGACACTGTCCCTGGTGACACTCAGGTCAAATGCCGGGTTATGGCGCGAAGAGCGTAGAGTAGTTCGGCTTGCATCCTTGCTTCCATTAAAAGTAGATTTACATGAACCTAAAAATGAAAACGTTACCAGATTAGTAACCACAGGAGAAGTGTTTAAAGCTTTTCATATATTAGATATTTATAAAGGTTTTAATTTGTACACAGACAACAAATAGACATGTATGCCTGGGCATATGTATGCACGTACATAATGGAATACTTAAACCTGCATTTGTAAAAAATGACTCTGTCAGCAGTAATGTCTATAATATTCCCACAGTCTTTTTAGACTATACATTACGCAAAGGCAATTATAAAAATAATTTTTGTAAGTTATTTTCCCACTAATTATGCTTCCTTTTAATTAAAATATTATTATCTGGCTAAAAATCAACCCTACTTTTTTTTTAAATAGCCTATGTTTATCACATAGAAAGTTTTTTTTTTTTTTACTTTTTTTTTTGGGGTTTTCTCCGGTACCAGGAACCGAACTCACGACCTTGCGCTTGCCAGGCAGGCGCTTTTGCCGCTGAGCTAAATCCCCAGCCCCCACATAGAAAGTTTTTAAAAAATTTCCTTGTATTTACTTGAAAAATACTAAAGTGAAAATCTGATGCTTAGCGCAGTTTATAATTAGTATCTGATACTATTTAGCTATGCATGACTTCTTTGGAGTCTTTTAGATGAAAGTGTGAAGTGTCTAGGGATACTCAGCTGACAGGTGAAAATAAATACCCAGTTTTCAAAATTTACTACAAAGAAATATTTACTTTGATATCTTTCTGTCATTTGAACATATTGTTGGACGTACAAGTTACGATTTCTTATGAGCTCGTGCCTCTGGCGGACGGCACTAGGCAGCAGCATTCACCATACACTTTGATCACACCTTGCAAAGACACTCATTAAAGAGTACTTTCAGAACTGCTTCAGAAAGTATCAAAAGCAATGGGATAAGTGTTTCTGAGATGAAGAGGAGTATTCTGAGGAGGGTTGAAGGCAATGTATCTTTTACTGTAATTCTAAAAATTTAAACATTCACTATATATTTTCATCAAGCCTTGTATTCTCCTGATCAATAAAAAGAATTCCCAGGTAGAATCTAGAACAGAAGAAAAATTGCAAACACATAAACGTGGCACAAAGATCCATCAAGGAGAGATGAGGTAAGATAGGTATTTTCTGAAAGACTTTAAAAAATATGTTACCAAAATCATTACATTTTTGCCAAGGCCATACACCTAATTAGTGAATGTAAGGACCTAGAAAGATTTTTTTTTTTATTCTCAAGCTTAGAAACTGGTATAAAGGAGATTTTTGGACTTAACGGTTAAAAGGTATAGGACTTAAAGCCAGCCCTTACACTATGATGTTGATAAAGATCCTTTAACTCAATACCAAATTATTAAATTGGGATGAAAAACTACTGTTCTAATAGGTTAACCCTGGTGGCTAGCTAGGCTTAAGGAATCTCTATATGGATATGCCTTTTGGGTCAAGATACAATTATACCCATCACAATTTCTCAGTGGGCTGGCTTTAGAATAGGATGATAGGATACTTTCCCAAAAACTTTAAAAATATCAGTATTTACATCCAATCTTTCAAAGGTTGATCCTAAAACTTAACTTTATATATTATGTTGGACAAAGCACATAATCAAAATTTAGTTAATAGTAAATAAATCTGAATTAAATTTTTTTTTAAAAATCCAGCTAATAACACTTCAATTTCAATGGCATCAATTTATTGAGACTATCAGGCATCACTTTTAATTAATACTTATTATACTTAATATGTGTCTGTGGTATAACGCAGGGTCATGAAACTGTTACCTTTTCTGAGTGTTTGAACTGACGCCAGTAACTATCATACATGCGCTTTGTAGTTCTTTCAGGATAGCAGGTCACCGTCTTAATGTAAACCTTCAGGCTTCGTTCAAGTAATTGATTAACTTCTCCATAATCATAGTCATCATACCTATGAGCAAGTTAACAACAGTTTTAGTATGACAAAATAAAAAATTTCCATTTCTAGAGTTGTGCCCAGGAGACATTTACTGTCTGTTAATTCCACATCAAAAGTTCATTAAAGTTATCTAACAAATATTTATTTATTTATTGCACTTTTGTAGGTACTGGGGTATACTAGTAAAGGAAAAAAATCAATCCTTGGTCTCTTATAGCTTAAATTCTGTTAGCACATAAAAGGATGAATTAAAAACATAAACATGTAATACGCAGGTGGTAGTAAGTGCTACGTAGAGAAAACTGACCCGCAGTCTGGGAGAAGACTTGTAATTTTAAATAGGATGAGCATGAAAGCTTCTCTGAGAATCTGACACTGAGGCAAATACCAGAAGGTAGTAAATGGGATTTAAATCCCAGGAGTGTCTTTCTTAAGGGCGTAGCTATACTATGTGTATATACTGTAAAATGTAGTGATTCTATCACCATCTATCATCTAGGATACTCAGTGGGCACATGGCATAATTATTTTATACCATAGAATGTCTGAAGTGTTTCAAAGTTTTCCAGATTTTGGAATACTTACATAGACTGTATCAGTTGAACATCCGCAGTCTGAAAATCTGAAAACTGAAATGCTCCAAAATCCGAAGGTGCAAACTTAAGGATTTCAGAGCATTGTGGATGTCAGATTTTCAGATGTAGTGTTTCATACACAGAATGTTGCATCACTAGTTGATGGATCAGGAAATTATGGGGATTTTTAGTTAAAACTGTAGAAAACACTTGTCCAACAAACTGAATTCTAATTTATTCCATAAAGATTTTCTGATAATATATCAGAAAAGATACAGCATGTAGTCAAGTTGAATGTATTCGTAACTGCAAAATTTGTTTCTGTAAATGTTTCTGTAAAAAGCTCCCAATACCCAGCTCAAAAAGGCACATCTCCAAAAGGAGCCTTCTTGATTAGACCATTCAGTTTCACTGCCTCATCTGTGCACTGTCCTCTCAATGCTAATCTTCTAAATTTAGCAGCCATTAATTTATACTGACTGATACGTTTCAATGTTCTTATGATGTGAGCTTATGTAACCTTTATGAGGACAAACTCTACCTAGTTTTGCTTATGCTCTAATTAGCATTCCTTCAAAAAGTTTTAAAAACCGAATCAAACAAACAAGGATTTATTATAGTGATCTAAAAACAGAATACTTTATTCTCCCAGGAAGACCTTTCAAGACTTTTCTATTCTATCTCCAATGATTACTGATGATTTTCAGCTTAGTAAATTATTACTATTGTATTTATATGTGCATCACTAAGATTCACAATGAAGAAAAATGCTTCTCTATAAAATGGAACGAATTTTTAAAATCAGAAGCCCACATAACATTTTCTCCCAGAATCAAATACTCCTAAATGGGATATACATAAGACTCATGTTAGAATTTTCACTTAGAAATCATATACAATTGTTTGCATACCAAACATACCTGATTCCAAACATACAGTGAACATAGTTAAATAAAGCTCTGCGCAGTGTGGTTGTGTCAACATCCTCATGGGTTGCCATAGTGTTATAGGTGAGGTTGTAGACCATCCGAAACTTCTCATCAAGAAGATGTCCAATGTCAGAATACAGCCTGTTCACCAGGGAGAACCCATGATTTTCCCAGGTATAGTCCTAAAGGAAGAAAGCATATTCAATTGCAAAATAAACATTTTCCATTTGAACTTTTTTATTAAATAAAACTACTGAAACAAGTCAGTGAGGTTATTTGTAATTTAGTTCTAGGCTTGTAGCTTTACTAGGTTTTATCTAAAACTCTTCATATCAGTCTGTAATTGGAGTACTGGGAGTTTCTTCATGGAGTTCAGGGATTGGGCACGCTAGCAATAAAATATGGCCACCTTCTACAGTCAGGAGCTGTGCTATATACAATACATGGTTATCTGAAAAGACACCAGAAAAATCTTGGAATACACCTATGTCACTAAATTTAGTGATATGAACATTTACGTGATCATGTGAAATAGGAATGAAGGTGTTTAGGAGATCTTACATCACTACTGTGGCTACACTTTCTATAAGTGGGGGAGTAGTCCTTAAAAGTCTGTAACCTTAATATAAAATGTCTTATTACATATGTGACCGTATCATATGATTTCTTCTCTGCTCCCTCAAAAAGTGGGATGAACATTATGCAACTAACTTATAATAATGCAAGTGACTAAATAAAGCCAACAGCAATTTTCTTTTACCTTTTTAGGGGGGAAATGTTGAAATAATTATTAGATTAAAAATTAAACTAAAAACTAGGATAAATAAAAAGACTTACAAGTCCTATCAGTTTCTTTAGAAGTCAATTTATTTACATCTACAGTTAGTAGTTAAAAGGACAGAATTCTCTAATTTTTCTGAATTGAGGACATCTTGTACCTGAGCTCGGAACGTTGGCAAATGCTCTTCTCCTCGTCTGGCAAAGTCTTCATATCCATAACCAGGATCTTCAATGTATCGAGAGACATCAGATGTTATGATCATGTCATCATCAAAATCTAAGGAAATCAATGACAGATCCATTGTTTAAGATATTGTAAATACAGTTACGATAATGAAACTGTTAAGGTAAGACAGTTAAGATAATTTCATTACCAAATACTGGAAATTAACATTTAACTGTAGCTATCTAGGCAAAGAACTGACAAAATAAAAATTTCTAAATGATGGCAGCAAAAGAGCAATATACTGTATACCTATATACCTCACATAGTACCTATATACCAGATACTATGCTATATACTTAATATCTTCTCCTTTGTTTCATTAATCCAGAGAAGTACCACTTAAGAAACAAACCTCTAAGTTATCCATACTATTCTTAGTACAAAATATCGGTAAGAAATACAATATGAATTAGCATAAAGGATATGAGAAACCTCTAACCATTAAACTACCTAAGTGATCTGCAACTTCGAAGTGGCTTTTAGAAGCCTACGAAACTTCGTGCTTATCCCTAGCCCAAACCTATAACCACTTTGTATTCTCCTTGTACTTCAGCTTTCTCTTCAAGCAACACACTAACAATCATATCCCCCACTCCCTCTCCCTCTCTCCTTCTCCTCCTTCCCCTCCTCTCCTTTTGGTGTTTCTGGGGATTCCAACCAGGCAGGGCCTCACACGTTAGGCAAGCAGTCTGCCATTCAGCTACAGTCCCAGCCCCAAATGGCATTTTTCAGTGCATTCTCTCTTAACATACCTGTGCTACACTTTCCTTAATTTAGTGTATCACATAATAATCAGCAGAAATGAAGCCAAAAATATAAAATGTAGTAGCATTCACTGAGGCTGTTATATAACTAGAGTTTTGTGGATTACAAAGTAAATTTAACTAAGAACACTGTGTCCTAACTAAACTCTATAAAACAGTATCTCTTTAGAAGTGAAATATTTCCCTGACACTGTATAACCAGTAGATTTCATATGGCAAATACTGATAATGGTGTTGACTAATTATATTGCTGGTTCTTTTAGGTTTTATGGTAGTCTTTGATTTGCTCCTAAAAATTTTCAATTATGATATGACTTTTAAACATTTTAAAGTAAATAATAAAAAGTGAGATTTGTATAATAAGAGAATTTATCCTAGGAAAAATCTCTACTTACTAATCTTAAAAGTAGGAATAAATTAAGACCTGTTTTAGGGATAGTTTTGTCTACAAAAAGAAACATACAAGGATCCCTCAATCCATTTATATTTTGCTATGTTTTAGCTATATATACTTTCCTTAAGTGTTTCCCAAAAGTCTATGGCTGGACCCCAGAGCGGCACTATTAGAAGGTAGTGGAAACGTTAAGAGGTGGCCATAGAGGCGGCCCTTTAGGTTACTGGGGAGATGCCCTCAAAGGGTACAGTGGGACCCTGGGGTATCTCATTCTGCTTTCCAGCCATGAGGTAAATAGTTTTGCTCTGCCACGTTACTAACAGGATGTGCTACCACAGACCTAAATAAAGTAGTGGGGCCAACTGATTATAGACTGAAACATCTAAAATTAAGGGAATTTTTTTTTTTCTCTTTTTAAGTTATCTCAAGGATTTGTTACAATACTTCATATAACCAGTAAATTTAGTTCTGGTGATAGTGGTATAAAAACCAATATAATGAAATGATTCAGCTCCTTGGATGATTCACACATGACACGGCCTATTTTGTTAAAAGCAGCATACGATATTTGAATAGGACCCAAGGCTTGCTAGTCAGAATTCCAGCTTGAAGGCAGCAGTGCCTATTCATGGTCCAAGAAGACCGAGGCTGGGATCCAAAATATATTTTCAGTATTAAAAAAAACACAAAGAAATATTTGTATCAAGCTGTAGTGATCTTGAAGCTCTTAAAAATTACTGTCTGAAAGCAAACATATATTACTAACCTTAATGAAAATGTTTGCATTTGTTAATATTGCTTTACCAGAAGGTCCACCCTAGGTTAACTATGTACCTTCTTGTCTACTTGTTCCTCTGCTTTTTACATTTACCAACTTTTCTGACTTTAGCTCCCAGGTATATGCTGATAACACCCAACTTTTTACCTTAAGCTTAACATCCTCTCTTGGCCTCCTGTCTGTTAGGCCTTGGCTCGTCCAAGTGCAGCTAGTGCAGCACCAGCATCATTTGGAGGCTTGAAAGCAACACGGCCTCACAGGCCTATGCAGACCAACTCACAGAATCTGCACCTCAACAAGATTCCCAAGGGACTCACAACCACACTAAGTTGGACAGCACTGTGCTAGTTATCTCTAGATTAGGTTTTACAGACATTCCCAACTCAAAACATCCAACATATGACAGGGGACATATTTCTTAATACTTAGAGGGTCACTGTAACAAGGCTTTCACCTCCCTAGCCAGCTTCCTCTTCATACTCCTAACCTCATGATTTATGTCCTCAACATACAAAACAATTTGTTCCTTTACACAGCATCCTGCTTCCTTACCACACCATGCTTTTGCACAGAAATTGTTTACCATTACTTTTCTCTCCTACTAGAGTAAGAACGCCATGAAGGCAGGAATCACACCTTACTTAGCCTTAAGACCTTAACAGCTATCACACTGCTGAGACTACATGGGGTACTCAACGAATGTTTGTGGCGTGAGTACTAAAGCAATACCTAAAACACCAAGTTTATTTGGGATTCCTTGTTGGGTATAAATCTGATTTGTAGTGACAGTAGCCTTCACGGATTAAATAAATTAAAACGGTTACCCAATTGTATAGATAAAAATCTTTCATTAAAGAAGATAATCAACATAAAGTATAAAAGGAGGTTCTTGTCCTTTCTGTAAACCTTCTGAAAACTACTGATCAATACCATGTTTATATAGCCAAAACAACTTTCAGAATTTGCGAGATTAACTAACTTAGTTTTAAGACAGTAATTTCTATTTTACAAATAGACACTGTATGGACTGATGACTGTATTAAGTTTATGGTATTTAAGTTATGGAAAATACTAAAGATTGTTCTGTTAGGGTTCAAAGAACAACTAAACAAGAAAGAGAACTAAAGATACCTGAATGAGGAAATGAATGAAAAGTATCTCCAGAGACCACAAAAAGACTTTCTTTTTTCTCCTTCTCGAAACGAGTGGTCATTTCTTCCTGAGATGTGTCTTCATCTTCTCTTTCTTCCTGAAGCCTCTTCATCCTTTCCATTAAGGCTTCCAGCTCACTTAGAGAATCCACAATCTAGAATCACATAAGATAATGTTGGGTGCTACTAAAATTAAAAATTGATTCAATAAATATCTCTGTCTCTTAATGTTACTTTATCATATACAATGCAAGGCTTAGGAACAGGTTCCCATGTGAGATGCTGGTCAAATGATGTATTATTACAATTAGATAAAAAATATTTTTTAAAAGAATGTGACTAGATTAGGAAAATAATCTAGAGGCAGAAAGTAAGTAAGTGATTTTTAGGGGCCAAGAGTTGGGGAGGAGATAAGGTGGGGGACAGAAGAGGGATATGACTACTAATTGTTTTAGAGTTTCTTTTTTACATGGATGATGCTCTAAATTTATTGTGGTGATGGCTGCATGGCTCTATGATCACACTAAGAACTACTGGATTGTACATCTTAGAGAGCTGAACTGGATGATATGTGAATTATTTCAGTAAAGCAGTTTTTAAAAAATAGTTTTTACCTGAGTTTTCCACTAACTCCAAAGAGAAAAAGTTTATAAACACATTGCTAGCCAGCTAGAATTCTAACACCTGACATATATTAATGAATATATGAATTCTAACACCTGACATATATTAAATTATAATCTACTAAAAAATTAGGTGGCTTCATATTTCCTACTTTCTGCCTTAAAATATACTTTCCATTAGTGATTCCAGCATCTTAGAGACACAGATATATTGTTTTGAGATTTGCTATACAAAAGGTTCAACATTAAAAGGCATCAGTGTTCAATTTCTATAATTTGTAATAATATCTATTTGCTTTAAAAGCCTTTTTAAGACAAATCAGAACTATAGGTACAGGTTAAAACTTTACAGTAATAAAAATTATGAAAAATATTTCAAGTATACAATATTCTATCTAGTCAGAAAATAAATTCTCTCTAGACACACCAAGAAGTTTAAGCAAAAATGATAAAACATTTATAAAAACTAACCCCAAAGTTGTTGCCTGCAAGGGATGCATTTTCTATGTTGTTGTCATTAGCAAGATCACAAACGCAGAAGTTGTTGACTGATATTATCCTGAATCCATTGGAGATTTCTGGATCTCTCTCTGGATTAATGCCACTACCAAAAACAAAGCTTGCCAAAGCATGATAATGTGTCAGCAGGACCACAGCATGTACTAGTTCAGGCAGAGACCAATTATTTTCTCCAGTTTTGACAAGTTTCTGAAAGGAGAACGCAAATGAGAATATATATAAAACCACCGAAAGCTACAAAGCAGGTTTGAGAAGAATGAACAATCAAGCAAATTTTATATACAAATTTATAGTCATTAAATGTTTTAAAAATGTTTCACATATTAAAGATACAGTTTTGGTCAAATAATGTTACATTAAAACTATCAAACCTAACAATATAATTATGTTGTGGCTTCTTCCAAATCCCTTATACATGGATCTTCTGCTTCCAAAGAAGTTTCATAAATTATGCTATTTTAATGATACTTCAGAAAATCAAAGAACACTAAAGCTAGAAAGGACTTGAAAGATTTTCTAGCAAAGCCACTGATTTTAAGGTCCTTTGGAAATTATATGACACAAAATCACATGAAAATACAATTTAGCAAGTCAGCGTTGTTATTCATTGTGTGTCTTCTAATAAAGGCCTGCCAGAGATGACAAAAACTACAGAATACTACCTCACTTAGAATAAGAATTCAAAATTTTTCAAAGTACTTTCTGCATTATTTACTCAGTCATCCAGATGAATGATGTAACATAAGTAAAACCATCACTAATGATAACCCCCCACCTCTTTTCTCAAAGGGTGAATTCTCACAAGTCCACCTGGTATTCTCTCATGTGCTCACTTGCTTGCATGTTTTCTTTGCTTCTTTTGTGAGGTGTGTGTGTGGGGGTGGGTGAGGGTCTCTTTTCCCTCTTTCCCTTTCATCTGGCTTAACTGCTACTAAATAAAAATGCAATTACTTTCCTTTACTTTATTTTATTTTCTACAACACACAATAATTTAGTGTACTGCTAAAAGCTGAAGGAAAAGAATAGGAAAAAATAAATTCTATCACACTAGTAAAACTTTTACATTTTAAATTACTACGTAGTTATAGTCATATACATCTATTTTTCTGCTTTTCAAACTTCTAACTTTGACACACTCACTTTTCACGAGCATTCAATGTCATGTTATTTTTTAAGCATAGGCTTGTATTGTGCATCAGTGGATACACACAACTATTTATCTATTCCTATGCTAGTCATCAAATTGCTTCTCATTTTTTGTTTTGTGTTTTTATTATAATAAATTGCTTTTTCATGCTACAGCTTTGTTCACATTTGAGAAACCTTTCCTAATAGAAATTATAGGACAAAAGGTATTAATAGATTTTTGATAATACTGGCAAAAAACTTTCCAAAAGGACTGGTGGAATTTATCAATTTTGGCAGAGTTATTAAATCTTAAAAAAGCCAAAACTTATCATCTTCCATATTCTTTTCTACTTTTTAAATTCATTCTACTCTGATTTCTTTCTCCAACAAACTTCTAAAACTACGTTCACTGAAATCACATATGACCTTCCAAATGGCCATGTCTATTTTTTTAATTTGGTCTATTTGGTTGCTGCAGAGTTTACACTGTTCATCATTTATCTCTTCTTGAAATTAATCTTCCTTGATGTCAACAACTATACTCTTTTGTTTTTACCCATTTTTACCCCAAGATGGGTCTTTCTCTGTCTCCCTCACAGGCAGCCCTCATCATTACCACTTGCCTTCAAAATGCTGGCTGATCGTCTCCTGTCCATAGTCCTCTTTCCTCGTACTGTACCGTAAAACCTGGATGGGCGGCTCATTCTTTCAACCTGACTTTAGCTTATGTCTGAGTAACTACCTGCCGTTATTTCTAATCCACCCCTACCCTGAGCTACAGACCTGTATTTCCTTTGGTAACTAGACATCACCCTGTGGATGTCATGATCTCCTGTTCTCAGGTCTGCGCACACGTCTGTTATGAAGAAGGAAACCGTAAAGCACCTCCTTCTCCATCCTCACATCCCGCCCATCGACAAATCTTGCTTATTCAGATGCGCAGCAGATACTACCGTGCTCTCTCTCCTCTTTCTCTTACTCTGGTTATTTTGCAAATCTCTAAATCAGTACTATGACTTGTCTACTTTTAGTCTACGGCACTTGTAATTTGGTTTTTGTATCAACTAAATGGGCATGTATTTCAATTTGGCACAAAAACCTTTAACGACTTTCAATCCTGTGGTGCAGTGCTCTCCAAGGTGCCCAACAGTGACACCGGGGACCGCAGCTGCTGGTGCTCGGTGGTGTACTTGTTAGTGACTTCGCGTACACTTACGAAGTGTTGTATACAGAGCAAATACATGTAATGTAATACTAATACATAAAAACAGAAAGACTTCACAGGATGAGTTAAGCGCATAACACGTACACATTTTCTTGTGGAGAAGGACACTCTTTGATTAGAAAGCACTGAGGACAGACAATGGTTTGTTTATTGTTTGTTAGGGTTCCTAAAGATAAGGCTTCATTGTACAGCCCAGCAGCTCAGTCAGGAAAACACTGTATACATGTAACTGTTACATTAATGTAAATGTGAGTAGACTAAGACATGTTAGCTTTTCACAGATCTGCCACTAGAGACCACTGGAGTAAGGAAATGTGTGTGGTCATCAAGTTCACCGGGGGGGGGGACTGTAGTAGATTGGTAACGAGTGGTCAACTTACAACCCCCAGCTAAACTGAGGAAGCATGGTGCTGGGTGTGGGAGGCCCACCGGCAACTGTTGCCAGCAGCGTAAGAGGCAGACCTGGAGAAGGATAGTGCTTTAATTACTAAAACGTTTGCTATCCGCCCATTTGTACTAGCTACGCCCTTGGTTCTTGCTCAATAAAAGGTGACTGAGATTGGTAATCGGGGCTGCAGTGCGAGAGCTGTAAGCCCCTGATCCCAGATTTTTACCTCTCTTGTTTTTCTTGTCTTTCTTTCCTTCCTTTTCATCTGTGGGCACCTCATTCTTGGGACCTGTCACCCTGAATAGAACATTTTCTAATACTTTGAAGGGTTGTCTCATATCTGAGGTACCATAAGATAACTACAGCTTTTTGAGGATAAAATATAAATTCTTTAATTTTGTATTCACTGGGTCATACAATATGGTTCCAGTTCTTCCTATTTACCATCCCTACCTTATGTAAATAAACCTATATGTAAATATACCTATATATAAGTATACCTACATTTTACTAACTGTCAGCTAGTAACTGCTCTTTCAACATATAATAACACTGAACACACTTTTCGAGGAAATGTCCTGCTCAACTTGAAAATTCCCACTTATTATTCAAAACCTAGCACAAATGTTGCTGCTTCTAAGAAACCTAATCCTATTCTCTTTATTCATACACTACTACGCTATGAGTATTGTCATTGCCCCTTGCCTCTCGGCCTATAGACTCCTAGTACATCCAAGGCCAAGTTTTTTATCCTGTTAGTCCACCAAAGTATCTGGCACAAAGTAATAGATATAATATGAAACCAGATCATAAACCTTAGGACACCATTATGCATCATAGATTTCCAGACAACCATCAAAATCTAAGAGTATACAGATTGACACAACCTGTATTTAGTTAAACAAATTGCCAAAAAAAAAGTCAATGAGATTAAAAAAGACATTTCTAATACATCAGATACAGATATTTTAAGTAAGGCATTTAGTGATAAATACTTTAAATGATAGCTCCTATATTTGGAGAGTTACCGTGTGCCGAACACAGTGCTGATAAGCACTCTGTATGATGACACCCCGTAGGCTTTTGATGGAAGCTCCTTTTAAGATGCAAGAGCTCTTAGTCACAGCCCTACCTCTTGTCTAAATGCTAGTTTCTAACAGCATTTTAGAAAACAGCTAATGTATTTTATTTGCAAAATCACTTTTTGTGACTTAAAATTACAAAATGTTAGAACTAGAAAGGAGTTTATAAGTCATTCAATCTAGACCCCTCACTTTACAGAGAGGGAAAGCGAGTCCTATAGAAGTTAAAAGCACAAATTTGCAAAAATGAAGAACAGACTAGGAGCCAGGCTGTTTACCATGTTAGTGTAATTTCTTTGTTCTACCTGCTGTTTGAAAATAGAAAGCAACTTTTCTCACAGCCACTAACAAATTACTCATACAAGCTAATTACTGATTATGTAAGAAAGGTAAGTATTTGTACTTAAGCCCACTGACTTTCTAAATTTATCTTTGCTACACATATTAGATTTTCTGTTTTTTGATTTTCTAACATTTAAGTGTTTAAGTCTTACAAAAATATTTAACTCAGAAACATTACATATTTCCTTTTTATTTCAAAGAAACAGTACCTGAATGTGCTCTTTCGTGATCAGCCAGGGTCGGTGTGCTAGCAGCTTATTTATTTCATTAAGATTTTTCAGCCTTTGTGGGACATACTCCAAACCGTTCAACCACTCAGCAATACCTCCAGTCTTCAAAAATTCATCCACATGCATGTTTATTAAGTAAGAACACTGATGTCTAGCTGCAGCCTAAAGCATAGAGGAAAGAATTTACCGACGAAGTAATCATGGTAGAATTTCATTCCATTATTTATATAAATAATTTGGATGGAGTTGATTAATTGCTTGCTCATTTGTTTGAGACAGGGTCTTGCTATACATAGACCAAGCAGGATGCTATCATCCTGCCTCAGCCTCTTGAGTAGCTGGATTACAGTTGTGTTTGACAATGCCTGGCAACAGTTTTCACAGTCAATCGTTCTCTTCTTATAGAATCATCCTCCTTTGAAAATGTTCATCATACTCTTTCAGTAATTCTCGAGTCAGTACAGGAAGCTGTTATGTAGTTGTAAAACCAAGTAACTGTCACATGAAGGCAATTACTTCATCTACGAACTGGTATAGATTAACTAGAGCCACTTTCTAGCTGTTTTAAGGGAACAGATACTCATTTCATGATGGTAAATGTGTGCTATATTCTACTTAAAACGCAGTAACACTTTATTAACTTGTGTTCTGACAATTTAGAATTCGTGTTAATTTTGCACTTTTCCCATCCCCTTTGAGAGGACTCTGAATCCAGTCATTCTGTCCTCGTTATCCCACCCCGGTGACACTGAAGCCTATTACACAGCCAGAGTGGGCCTCGGTGCAGACCACTTAGCAAATCCATGCAGAGCAGACTTCTGACTTCCCTTCTTCTCCATGGCTGCCTCTCAGTAAAACAGTACTGTTTTATTCTTCCTGTTCTCTATATCTTGGCTTTCTTTTAGTTTGTGAAAGCATTCTGAGTCTGCTTTTAGTGTTACTATCATGAAAACTTTAAGCTAAAATTATAGTCTTAGTCAAGTTCATCATTCAATTAAAAACAATGCTGCTCTGTGTCGTCACTCTACAAAGGTTTGGTGAGAATATAAAGAAGATCATCTACTCAAACCCATAAAAGCTCATCTGCTGGGTCCCAGCAGCTCTTGCTCTGCAGCCCAGCTGTGCCGTCAGCTTCCTGCGCATGCAGCACCTGCGCCGCACTCCTGTGCTTTCTCTACGACCAGTCCGGCTTTAGCACTGTTCCTAGCTTTCTCTTTGTTGCCGATCATCACAAAAGTAATGTTGGGATATTACTTTCAGCCCTATAAACATCTTTAATCATGACAGATGAAACACAAAATTATTTTATTGGAAATTAAACGAAAGATATTCAGTACATTAAGTGATTGAAAGCACTCAAAATGTGTTCAAGGGATTTGGTATTAAAAAAATGCCACAGGTCTCAATTGTTAAGTCAGTGAAATTATACCTGGCGCGCGCGCGCGTGCACACACACACACACACACACACACACACAATTCTGAAGGGAGAGAGAATCAGTGGAAGATGTTCCATGAAAGTAGAAGAAACAGGAAAACGAGCACCTACCATTATTGCGATGTAGTGCCTGTGTGGCAGAGGAAGGGGACCGTCCATGCGCAACATGTAAAACTGGCTCCGCAGGAAAGACTCCAGGTACTGAGTGTGTAAACTCATGACCTGTGTTATGTTGTCCAGACGACCAGATGTGGAGTACTCTTCCACGAGAAGGTTTGTACGTTCATCCACTGTGTTTGCTTGGACAACCTTATAACCGAGAAACATAAACAAAGTAGCTATGATTGTGATGTAAACACATCCTTGGTTTACATAAATTTTGCCACTACTGAAGCAAATGAATATTCATTTGATATTAACACTGAAATTATGCAGTTGCTTATACTAGTAACAGAAATTTTTTAAAAAGTTATCATTCATTTTTGGCTCTGGTACTACAGTTTATTAAACAACAAATGTTAGATTATCAAACATTAAACACACAGCTACAAAAATTGAAGAAAAGAAGCTCCCATCTGTTCTGCCAGGCATATTAGGCAGATTCTTCAGAGCTGATGTGCCTGGTCACTGCCACACCAGTTTGTAGTTACGCAAAGCAGCAGAATTTGATTACACACATTTATAATTTAATCCCATCAGCTTGTACAGATAATCACATTCTTAGACAAATATTTTCACTATGATCCTTTGCTAGTTTTTGTTATTGACAGGTTTTTTCTGGTGGGGGTCTTTTTTGAGATGGGGTTTCACTATGCAGTTCAGGCTGGCCTTGAACTCACTTAGTAGCCCTGGCTGGCCTCAAACGTGCAGCGATCCTCCTGCCTCAGCCTCCTGAGTGCCACCAGTTGTGTGCCACCACGCCCAGCCTACATTGACAGTTTAGGCATTACACCAAGAACTGGTTCTGAAAGTATTAAGAGCTTAACACCTTGCATAAGGACCCAATTCTGGGTGTAGTTGATGAATATGTAATGCATAATTCTACTATTGCCTCACTATTTACTTGTATTTTAGGATTATACTTCTAGACTAAAGATGAATACATTTCTTATTTCAGAGATAAACATCCTAGATTAACTCATGAACCTAGTTAACAGCAAGGTCTAGTTTAAAATTTAGATTTCCAAAAGTCTAAGGTAACAGTCTTCCTGAAAATCTGTGCTGTTATTGGAAACTCCATTTATTCTTCAAAGCTGGTTTCATAGGTTTTTTTCTGAAAAATAATTATAAATTATGAAAAAGTATTATTGACTGAGGGAAATTTAATCTTGAAGCAAATGTGTTTGAAAAGTACAAATTGTGAAGAAATGTTAACTATGTTGATGTAAGAAAAAGAGGCAATTCCACCTCATCTCATTATGGAGCCATGTGTACTTTCATTTGCTCATTTTCCTCCCATGTTTTCAACTTCAGGGCCCAGAATGATAGTTAAAAATATAGTAAAATCCAAATGATCAAAAAGAATTAGGGATAGACTATCTGTTCTTTTTTATTTCCTTTCACCAGCAAAAATTTCTTATGTCTAACTGGGTATCTAAAGACTAGATGCAATAGATCCTGAAAGCCAAATTATCTTCAAACTTATACTGTGAAAGTGTGCTTCAGGAAGACTTCCGTATGAGGCGATCACTCCACTGAGAAAAGTCCCTGGGCTATGAGAGAAGTGGGCATCCACGCAGCAGCTTTTCTAATACACGTCCACCGCCAGATGAGCTGTGCTCACTGAGCTCCGTCACATTACCGCTACTCTGGATTTTCGCTCAATAAGAAAGCCACTAAAAAGGTGATATTAAGATAAAAGACCCGCTGACCCTGGCAATGATCTGCTATTACTTTAACTCTATTAGTCTCTTCTAAGACAAAGCCTGGCACAACAGCCATTCTACAAATCTTTGTTGATTAATTCCACAACAAAAAAAGAAGACTCCTAGTGCTGTAAGATAAATGATGTCTATGCAGTAAGTGTATACATGATAACTATGCTCAATAGGCACTAATACTTCCTTGAAGCAAGAAAAACTTCTCAATTAGTTGTTCTTACACTCTCCTCAGTCCACATCCAAGAGGCACCTAGGGATCTGAGGATGTGCTCACTGCTGTAATTTTTCACAGAGATATACTCCAACAAATTAAGTACAAATCTTGTTTTGATTGTAACTTCGTGTCATTTATAACCTTCCTTGCATTTACTACAGGCGCAGGGTCACTGCACTGAGTTGGACCCACAGCCCTTTCATTTTGGGATAGTTGTGCTAAGCTGCTAAATTGCTCAGACTGCGTTTTACTTGGGATCTTCCTGCCTCCCAAAGCCCAGAGGTTATGGGTGTGCGGAACAGAACCGAGCCCGTGCATTTACTTTCCTAACTCTCCAGCCTCACCAGTGGTGCACAAATGTACTGGAGATATGGCGCCATCCTCTCCAATAAGATACTCGGAAGGCAATGAAAAGAGTAACTTCTGGTTATGTAATATCGTATTTTAACGCAAACTCATGTTTCCTTTCAAAATATTTTAACATTTACATAATCTGTAATCATCACAAAACAGGACTTTTAAAAACTGAAAACTTTCAGATTAAGTTTTATTACTTCTAGCTACTTTTTTCAGAAGTTATATTTGAAATAAAATATGGTTAAATTTCTACTGTTTTAAACTTGCAGTACTACTGAACTATAAGATATACTCAGATTTCCAGGTGAATCTGAAAAGAAGACCCTCTTCTGTTTCTTTCTGATACATGCATAAGAAACTCAAGAGTAAGATATTTTTACCTCCATTACAGGTGGAGATTTCTTGATACAATTAATCTTCTAAAAGTCATACTTTATATACTTTAAGACAGATAAACTTACTTCCTTCTCTGGAATAAAGGCACTTGGTCCTCTTGTCAAGGGTTGAGATACTCTGATTCTTTTGTCCTGTTTTTAAAAGGAAAGTTATACATTAATGATGAGTTTTCCAAGAAAAGTTAATTGATACACATTATTTCTAAGGTATAAATAATCAAACAGAATAAACAGAATTATGTAAAAGCAGGATAAGTTTCAGGATAAAAGCAGAGTAAGTGTCCAGATCAAAGAAAGTCCATAGGCCATTTTCTGGATGAGATAATGGAACAAACTCCATCAGTGCTAGTGTGTGATAGAGGTCTTGAAAACATCATTTCCCTCAGTCATATTCTACATCATCATAAATTTTTACTCACATTTAATATGAATGAAAACCATTAATTTTTATAATGGAATCATATCTGATAATACACTAGTTATATTGTTAGATATTAATTTGAAAGCTAACTGAAAGTTTAAGTCAAAGAATTATATGCAACTTGCTAAAGCAATGACCTGACTTGTGGCTTTTTCTGAATAAAACAGCAACAAGAATATTAATAAAAGGTTCTTAAATTTTAAGAAAACTATGAAACAGCAAGGTAGAGCTTAAGTGAATTTAAGAAATGGACAATACAG